GTTGGGTCTAATCTGTAGTTCGACCCATCATTCGAGTTCTAGGTTTCAGTAATTATATTATTAATTTTTATAAGAAGAACGGCACTCTCCAGGGGAGTCAGCCAAGGTGAGGACACCAGAGCAGGCATGGGGGAGAAGTCCTGGGTCGGAGGGAGGGGCTGCTGCCCAAGCCCCTCCTCTCTAAACTAGACCTCTGGAATTCCGGGACAGGAAGGGTTTTGCTCAGGGTCACCAGCCAGTCAGGGGCAAAGACAGGAAGGTGGGCCTTTTGATTAACAGTTGAAGCTGGACCCAAGGAGGAACACACCTAGGCACATCATAATTACATTACTGGAAACTAAAGATAAGGAGAGAATCTTAAAAGCCACAAGAGAAAAGGAGACCATTACCTACAAAGGAGTGCCCATCAGACTATCAGCTGATTTCTCAAAAGAAACCTTGAGGGTAAGAAAGGGCTGGAAAGAAGCATTCCAAGTCATGAAAGGCAAGGACCTGCAACCAAGATGACTCTATTCAGCAAAGCTATCATTTAGAATGGAAGGGCAGATAAAGTGCTTCTCAGATAAGGTTAAGTTAAAGGAGTTCATCATCACCAAGTCCTTTTTGTAGGAAATGTTAAAGGGGCTTATCTAAGAAAAAGAAGATAAAAAATATGAATAGAAAAATGACAACAAATTCAGTTATTAACAACCACACCTAAAACAAAAACAAAAACAAACTAAGCAAACAACTAGAACAGGAACAGAATCACAGAAATGGTGATCACATGGAGGGTTATCAGTGGAGGAGGGGGAGAGGGAGAGAAGGGGAAAAGGTACAGAGAGTAAGTAGCATAAATGGTAGGTAGAAAACAGACAGGGGGAGGTTAAGAATAGTATAGGAAATGTATAAGCCAAAGGACCTATATGTACAATCCATGGACATGAAGTAAAGGGCAGGGGGATGCGGGTGGGAGAGGGTGTGCATGGCAGAGGGGAATAAAGGGGGGAAATGGGGCAACTGTAATAGCATGATCAATAAAATGTATTTATTAAAAAAAGCAATTGGTCAGGGCCATTCAAGGGGGAAGGAGTGAGGCCCTGGGATGGGACCACAGTGTCTTCCAAAATAAATCGTGAGCAAAGTGTAGACAGCCAACAGAGATCTTGATGTTTTTCCATAGTGATTATGTGTGTATTTAATTAAAAGTATACACTGAGCCCTGGCCAGTGTGGTCCAGTTGGTGGGAGCCTTATTCTATAACAAAAGGTTGTGGGTTTGATTTGTGGTCTGGGCACATACTCAGGTTGTAGGTTCCATCCTACAACCCTGGTCCTGGTGTGTGTGTGTGTGTGGGGGGCAACTGATTGAGGTTTCTCTCTCCCTCTATCTGTAGAAGTGATGAAAAAATGTCTTCAAGATGAGGATTAAAAACAAACATGCAAACATATACATTAATAGCCACCTCTAGCCCCCTTTGTTTCCCTTTGCTTTGTGGTACATGAAGCACATGCTGGACCAGGCCATGGGGAACGGCAGCCTGAACAGGGAGCAGTCACAGCTTGGCCTGCGCCCGGAGCAGGCAGGATGCCGGTCCTCGCATCTGGAAGCTGCAGAGGCCCCAGGTCCTCTCAGTTCCCGGTTTTGGGGAAGAGAAGCTGGAAGGCAGATGCTCGAGGAGGCTAACCCCGGGCACTATCGCCACCTGGCGGCTACCCCAGCTATGACAGCAGTCGCGGCAGCAAGCCCAGCCCAGCAGAAGGAACAAAGGAGGCCTGTGGGTGGAGGAGCCAGGCTGGGCAATTTGATTTGCCCGAAGAAGAGCTGACCCACTCTGTCCATCACTGGAAGGGGTAAGCCCCTTCTCCTGGGTGTGTGCAAGCAGGGAGCCCCAGACTGGGCTTTATGGGACTTTCAGGCATCATCACTCATCAAGGCGGTCCCCGCTCCCCACCCTGCTGCCACCAGGTCTGTCACATGGACACTCGCACACGGCTCCTCCTCCTCCACCCCACTGTGGGCAGCCTTTGTTCCCCAAGGTCGTTGGTGACATCCTAGCCACAGGAAGGGGAGAGTCACCTTATCTCTCTAGTCCTCCCTGAGGCTCCACTCCCCCTCCCTGTCCCTGCCTCCCGTGAGCTGACATCCTGCCTTCCTGCTTCCGGCTCTGCTCCCCGCAGGTCCCCAACCCCACCCCGGACCTCTCTTCGACAGCTGTCCCTTTAACTGCGATTTGGATGCTTGGGATGGGCCTGGCCATTTCTCTGGAGCACACCCTCCCGTCCATCCCCCGGCCATCCAAGCTTCTGGACCAGACCGTCCACCCGCCCTATCGACACAGGAGTTCAGCACTGCAGTGTCCTCCTCTTAAAATGTTTTCTTTTGAAATAATTTCACACCTACTGAAAGTTGCAAGAATGGTACAAAGAACTCCCTTGTTAGCCTTTACAGCAGTCTTTAATTTTTTTTAACATTTGCTCCATTCTTTCTCCTGCTTCTCTATTCTTTTATAGTTAAAAAAAAAAAAAACATTTGGAAATGTTACATAATAGTCCTTAACCTTAACTTCAGTGTATTTCCTGAGAATAGGGATATTTTTATTCTCCTTATATAATTCCCAAACTCAGAAAATCTAACATTGAGACAAAATGTCCTTTGTAGCACTGTTGTTGGTCCAGGGCCCCACACTTCCTGTGGTTGTCATGTCCCTGGGTCCCCTTCAGTCTGGACCCATTCCTTGGTCTTTGTTCAGTATGATGTCAACATAAGAAACATCCAAACCTGTAGAGAATTTTCACAAGTAGCTGGGTTACGGCAGGATTTTAACCAGTGAGCTGCAAGCGATGTTAAAACACGCAACACACCTGACTAGTTAGGGACATTGACCTCTGTTCCGTGAGATCGTCTAAAAAATATGTACATGACAACAGCCAACACAATAGCCAGCCGGTGTAAATAAATCGAAATTATACTTTTTTTTTCTAGGTTGACAAAAAATATTTTTGGCATGCTACAGAATTTTACTCGTTATTAATGCATGCCTTAAGGTAAAGGGTTTGAAAACCACTGGATTGCAGGGCAGTTAAGATTCTTTGCGCCCTCGAGGGCGGTCCCACTTGCCTGGGGTGTTACTGCTGGCACTGCCAAGGTGTGTGAGCTTACAGCCTCTCACTAGACAAAGCACAGGCCTAGGGTGGTACTGCCCTCGCGACCTGCCCACTTGGGAATCTATGATCACAGCACTGCTTTTTAACCCAGTTTGGAGTTCTCCAAGATTAAAAGAGAAAACAGTGATCTTGTGGAAATCATACATGTACTTATGCCACAAATTAAAAAGCCCCAATCACAAGAATGATTACTTGGCCTTGGGCAGTTTTTCACACATGAACTGTGTCCTGTTAAAGAATTTGAATGAGTTTGTGGGAACTAGTACTTGGTGCAGAAATAGACGTTGAAGAATTTTAAATTTTATTTTGAAAGAGTGAGAAGCAGCATATCTAAATTAACATTTTAGATGTGCTTTCAAATATTCAGATATTAACTACAAGTAGATATTTGTCTATATCCACCATAAAACTGAGTTTATGTGGACAAACTAGTGAAAGTTTTTAATCTTCTCACTAGGAACACAAAATCTTGTTTTGGGGAAGGTATGCTAATATGGAACGGATTCGAATACAGCCATATGGTTTCTATGTATAGTTAAACGTTATCACTAGCCCTGGCTGGTGTGGCTCGTGGACTGTATGCTGGCCAGCAGACTGAAAGGCCACTGGTTCGGTTCCCAGTCAGGGCACATGCTTGGGTTTTGGGCCAGGTCCCCAGATGAGGGCGTGCAAGAGGCAACCAATCGATGTATTTCTCACACGTCCGTTTCTCACCCTTTCTCCTCCCTTCTCTCTAAAAATAAACAAAATCTTTTTTAAAAAGTCATCACTATACAGTACTTTCAAAAATAATGTGACAGCCCTGGCTGGTGTGGTTCAGTGGATTGAGCGCGGGCTTGTGAGCCACAGGGTCCTGGTTCGATTCCCAGTCAGGGCACGTGCCTGGGTTGCAGGCCAGTTCCCAGCGGGGGACACACAAGAGGCAACCATACATTGATATTTCTCTCCTTCTCTTCCTCTCTAAAAATAAATAAATAAAATCTTTAAAAAATAATACTACTACTACTGTGACAAGAGCTGACTGGAGGAGGGCGGGGATGCTCAGCCACGCAGTCCCTTTGGAAGGCTCAACAAACCAGGCGGGAGCGGGAGCAGTGCCGCCGAAGGGCAGCCAGTCCGTCTGGCACTCTGGGAACCCGGTCCCTCCTCCAAGCCTTCACAACACGGAAACACGCGGACAGCAGTACTGGAAACTGGTTGGTAACACAGGCAGCTTCATTTCCTCACGCATTCCGTATTTAAAAGGCCGGAATAGTGCCTCTACTCTAGATGCAAATCGGAAGACACAATGTTTAAATGAACTTTGACTTGAGGCAGGACCATGGGTGAAATATTTTAGTGTAGCCTTTGCTACATTGATGGAGGATTTAAAGTACACAGGAAGGAACACGAGTTCTTTTCTACCCCAGGTGTCACTCTTTCCGAAGACGTGTGCTCTGGCATTTGTCCATTTCGGCAGCCACCCTCAGGATCCCCCTACCAGGCTTCTCCCCACTTTCTTCTCAGAAGGAAACCTGACCCGTTTCCTTCTGAGTAGCCTCTCTGGCTTCCAGAACACAGCGGAAACTCCTGTGCCCTTCAGGGTCCTTCTGGCCTGTTGCTTAATCCTTAAGACCTAAGGTTTTGTAAGGAAATGTCAGTGGTCCAGGCAAGCTTCTGCTGTCCCTCTTTCATCATGCAAGTAGATCTGAACTGGCTGAAACTGTTTTTGGACTGTAACTGGAGGTTGTTCCAGCCGTCCCGGAAGGCCACTGAGACGTGGCTGCCCCAGCCACTGGTTTTGGTCAAGTGCAGTTCCAGAGCTGCAGAGGCAAACAATTCCCTTTGAATCATGAATTAGGCAGAGAGCATGGGTTCAGGATTGGTGGTTTATTTTCAGAGCCTGCAACAGTCGGTTAGCAATGTTTCTCAAAGCGGCATAATCTGAACACCATTCCACCTCCCTTTCCAGGCCTTCGAACAGAACCCCTACACACCAGATTACAGAGACCAACTGCGATGTCTCAGTGTGTGCGGGCAAAGGTCTCCTCCCTCTCCCGCCGTTCCCCACGTACTTTTCTAACAAGATTGTTTTGTAGCCAAATGCAACTCAAACCCATTAACACAGCAACCAGTCAGCTCCAGCGTCACCGGTTCCCTCCCCAGCTCCGGAACAGGAAGCCAAGGCAAGAGGGGGACTCAATCCTGTGTACAGGACAAACTTGGCTGCACCCCAAGGGCGCAGAGATGGCAAGGGGGCTGGCGCCAGACGGTGGGGATGAGCAGAACCGAACAGGCCTGTGCAGTCAGTCAAGGCAGCCCCAGCTCCACAGACAGGGGGTGCGCCTTCGAGACCCCCGACTGCCCTGGGGTTGGATGAGGAAGCAATTGGTGACAATCCACCACTCCCTGTCCCTCAAATCAAAACATGATAAACCCGAGAGTTTCACCTTCACAATCCACCACGCTGCCTCCTGAGAAACATCCCACTCATTGCTATGCTTGTACCCTCGCCTTTCTCCTGAAGCCCAGGGCTTCCAGCCCCTCGTCCCACCCTTGGATGGGCCAGCCAACACTGATTTGATACTCCTTGACGTATAAAATCACTATTTTTAGAAAATCAAAAGCTATCCAGAGTACCAGAGTAATAGAACACTCAGTGTATATCCCCCCACCCACCCCAGCCCCCCTACTGTGGGACACCTACACTACCATTCCAACAATGACCAGGGGCAGCCCCATGGAAGCTGCCTCAAGTGCTCTCCACATTGACTCCTATGTCAGCCAACATCACAGGGAACTGGGCGGGAGCGGGGTCTCACCCCACCCCAAACAGACCTCAGTGGTCTTCGAGGTAGGTCCTGGAGGCGTAGCTCGTGCCTGGCAGGAAGGCCGAGTCCAGCACCTGCTTCCACCAGGGTCTCAGTCTTTGGCTTTAAATAGCAGCAGCCCAGCACCGCAGTGCCTCCTGGGGCGACAGAGCTACTTCTGCCCCACACGCACATTCGGCCTCTTCTCCACCCCCCCTTTTTTAATTAAAAGCAGAGGTAGTCCTTGGGATGATAAAATGGCAGTATTTTGACTTAAAGAGCAGTTAAATAAAAGTTTCCAGGAGTTAAAAAAATAATAAAGTGATTGATGAGGTTGAATAAATTAAAGATAGGGGTTCCTACAAAGACCATTTCCTTCCCAGGCTGTCTTTGGTATCTGGCCGGCATCGCTTCCATTGTTCTACATCACTCCCTCTTCTGGCCCTCCCCTCGAGAAGGGACAGGACCCGGTGTCGCCCCAGGTGGTTCTCCAGCTGTGGGGACGAAGAGGCAGAGCGTGTCAACTTGGTGCTCGAAACTGGGCACGTGACAGCCTGGGGAGGCAGCCCTGACGCAGGGACGAAAAGGCGCAGCCGGCGGGGCGCCCTGGGCTCTGACCCTGGGAGTGTGGGAAGTAAGGTGTAAGGCAGGAAGCCCAGGCTCCCTCTCCAATGTCACAGAGTCGGCCCTTTGCTCAAGTTTCTCTGTAGCAAAGGGGGAGGCAGACGGAGGAGGCTCAGGCTGCTGCCGCCGGCCCTGCTGGCCTCAGAGCTTCTTCAGGCGGCTGTACATCTCCCTCTTGCTCTTTTCCCCTGCCCAGGTCCGGCTCTTGGTGCGAAACTTCTTCAGGTCTTCTTTAAAGTCCTCGTGGTGCATGGGCCGGTAGCTGGGGGGCTCACAGTGGGACTGGGGGGCAAGAACGGGGAAGATCAGGGTGCATCTCTTTCACTCCTAACCCTACCCCCTCCCTCCCTGGAGCTGAGGCTGAGCAGTAATGCAGACCTCACGATGGGTTCTAGTACCCCTCTCGTGCAGGGATAATCCCCAGACCCCTGGTAACAAGCAGCCATGACCGTCTGACAGACCCAACTGTCCGACCTGGGCAAGGGTGAACCATGCCCTCCAGAGAGCCCATCTCACCTGGCACTTCAGAAAAAACTCCTTGTACCCGCCCTTCAGGACATACAGCTCAGGGTAGTGGAGTTTGGGGTACTCGTTCCCGAGCCGATCTCTCTCTCTCACATAGCGGCACCTACAAAGGACAAGGAAGGCAAAGCAAGGTCAGCTCTTCCGACGCAGAGGAATGGAAGTCCACTTCACTACCACTTGCAGTGCTTGGAGCTGAAGTGCTCCTTACACACACCTGGCCAACTTCACACTCATTCCTGGGAAAAAGCAGCGCTGAGTTGTAAGTCCCTGGCCACATGTGATCTTTAGGAACACGGTCACAACCAGTGCCACCGCCCTGTATGGGAAGATAGATGGTCTCTTCCCCCAGTTTCCTTTCTCCAGGTTAAACAGCCCCAGCCTTTGACCCTCTCCCTGCCAACACCCGCACCTCATCTTCGGTGACAGCCTCCAGCCAGCTCCTCACTCACTCTCCACCCACAGGCTGAGCCTGCTCCTGCTGCAGGGCACCTAATGTGCCTCCCATGCCTGGACTGAACACTAAACATTCTTCCCTGGTGTCCTCACCTGGCTGGCGGCCCCTCCTACCCAACCCTTGGAACGAAGGCCGAGTCCTCACCGCTGCCCACACACCATCGCTCCCACCCACAGCAACCCCCTGCTGCTCCTCCAGCCGGCCCAGGAGCCTGCCCCTCTGCTCTCATCTGGGAAGTACTTCCTCACACATCACACAGTTTACATATTTATGATGTCGACCTGCTTCCTCTGAAATGTAAGCTCCTTAAAGGCAGGGGCTGTTTGTCCACTGCTGTTCTGCCCAGTGCCTGGGAGTGTCTGGCACATGAGAAGTAAGTAAGTATCTGTAGAGCAGATAACACTTAGGAATGAGTGTTAGGTCTTGCTCAAATGCCACCTGTTCGCCAAAAGTTCACTGGTTCAATTCCTGGTCTGGGCACATGCCTGGGTTGTGGGCTAGGTCCCCAGTTGCGAATGGTTGCAAGAGAGGCAACCAATCGCAGATCAATGTTTTTCTCCCTTTCTTCCTCCCTTACCCTCTCTCTAAAAATAAATAAAATATATTTTTTAAAGGCCATCTCTTCATGTGATCATGGCTTTGTGCTAAGGTATGACAAAGTCGTCGCTCTTGGGAGACAGCTACTAAAAGACTTAGGAAGACGGCCACACACACGAAGGTCCTGTTGTAGCTGTGTGCGCAGAATTATCTGTCTGCAAATGTAGCAAAATATTAGCGAGTGGTGGGATCGGGTGAAGCATGCACAGGGGTAACCTTTTCAAGCTTTGAAATGGTTCCAAACGAAACAGCGGCCGAGAGCACGGCCCTGGGAGGAGCCCCTCGGACCATCCTATTTGGAGCTGTGCTCCTCCCTGCCGGCCTCCTTGGCCGTCTGCCAGCACTTGTCACGTCACCTAGTCTCCCGGCCAGGCCTCCCCTGCAGAGGTCTCCATCAGGCCTGCTCTCTGCTGTGCCTTCGCTGCCCCCATACTGCCCAGCACATTCTAGCTCACAGGCCTTTCTGAAGGGACATGGATGATGGCAGGCAGCTGGCTGGCCCCTTCCCTAGCTTTTCAACATCATCATCCATGTCTGACCATTTTTCAGCACCAATCCTGTTACCACTAGTGAGAGAGTAGAGGATGCTGTTAGAGCATCAGAATATTACTTTAAATCTTAAGTGAATGTTATTTTATTATAATTAAATACTTTCACCTATTTTGGTATAAAATGTATCTTTGGGTAGTTACAGGGCGTTCTCTAACAGAAGCTTGTGCTAATAAGGGGTATGTTTGGGGGGCATTTCCTTTCGCCCCTAATGTGGCAATAATGTGAAGAGTATACAGCCACTCCTTTGCAAACATCACCTGGACGAGTGTTTGACAGCATCACATCAAGTTTTGCAGTGAGGGTTTCACACTTTCCTGGCGTTTGCATAGAGTCACTACACTGTACTTGAAGGATGTCCTCAGAACAGTGGCCCCACAGGGAGAACTGAGGACAGTGGTGGAAACAGGAAGGGCCAGAGTTCAACTCCATGTAAAGGAAGCTTAAACGGTGAACCACACCTAAAAGGGACAAGGACTGACTCAGCAGTGCGGGTGGGGGACACTGCACGGGCGACACTAGCATCATAAACGGGTGGACCACCAAAGCCCACAAGCCCGTAGCAACTGCGCTGCTCAAGTCAAGCCTATTATTAACTCCATTCAAGGGAGTCGTGCACAAAATCTAGTGACCACTAGGTAGAGAAGAATTTTAGATAACATCCGCTACATGTGAATTTATACTTTCCTGAAACTATGTTTGGGTCACAGGCCATGGTACAGGCTGGAAACGCCCAGTTCGTGCAGCAGGATGCTCCGAAGGCAAGCCACATGCCGCCACACCCCACAGAACCAGTCCTGTGCAACACTCACATGCGAGGGCCTCGCTCGGAAGAAAATTCACAGTGGAACACCACGATCACACGCTTGCCGTCAGCAGGCACGATGGGCTTCTTGAGTAAGAAGTCTTCAACCTCCTCCTCCATGTGCAAGTTCACTGCGCCCTGTGAAGAAGTACCACAGATTCTTGGCAGCCACGTCTCACACTTGCAGTAACGATTCCACGAGCAGGATGTTTAAACGGACACCTCGAATTCCGTTATGCCTATACTTCATGCGTGCTATTTGTGAATTCGGGGACTTTCAACAGCCACAAGACAGTGGAAACACTAATAGTGTATTTAAATGACCTCCTTACCAATTTTAACGGTTAAAAGATTAAAACGCACAAGCAGTTACTTTCTTCCTAGGAAAGTGTCCTCACACCCCTTTCCACCAGGCAGCTTAACCGTGCTGCCGGAGGGCCCTGGCTTAGAGACCGGAGGGCACCGCCTGGAAATGGCCTTGCTGGGGCGATGGTGGGAGGGCCACAGCAGGGAGCATTTGCTGTACATCCTGGTGGAGAGTAGTGCGGACCAGGAAACGGACTTTCAGCACACCGGGAGTCAAATGCCTTCCCGCAGTGGTCTCTTCATCCCCACGACCAGCTTGCCAGCTGACAGACAGCCAGGTGTCACCGCCCGCCTTTTAAAAAGTCACAGATGCTGGCCCTGACCATTGGTTAGAGCGTTGTCCCAACATACCAAGGTTGTGGGTTTGACCCCCCAGTCAGGGGATCAAACATATAAGAACCAACCAATGAATGCATAAGGTGAACAACAAATCGCTGTTTCTCTCCCCCCCTCCCCCATCTAAAATTTAAAAGAAAAAAAAAGGCACAGATGCTGTCTAGGGTCCCCTCTATGCCTCCAGGGACAGCAGGGCCCACCAGCGAGCCCCCGGAATCCATACCTTGATGTGGCCTCCCTCGTATTCATAAGGGTACCGGCAGTCGATAATGACAAACTCTTTAATGAGGTTGGCAAACTTTCCATTCAAAACAGACGCCATCTGCGGAAAGAAAGCCCAGGAAACTCAGCTTTGGCTGCCAGAAACAACCAGACTCACATACTCTACGTGAGGCAGGCTCCAAAGGAATGACTTACAATTTCCGGAGAGATGTATTTTAGATCCTGATGCTTCCCAGCAACTGTATTAAAGAGATAACTCTTAAAAAAAGAGAGAGAGAGACTTAGCAAATATGAAAGCCTATATCTGTATCATTTATACTGCTTACCTGCCTGAAGAGGCAGCTTTAACAAAACCAAACCTAGTATTTCATGTTAGTTTCTCATCTGGTCACTCCATTAATTTCTGAGCATTTAATATTACCCTCATTTTCAGATGTCTGAGTGGGAGGGTGTAAAACCGAGGGCACACCCAGGTCTTTGCTTGCTCCTGTATTTGGACTGGACATGGACTTGTCTCCTACTTTTAACACTTATGTCTCCTGTCCCTTCAAGCCCCCTGGCTGAAGTAGCATCCGCCCAGACCGATCTGCTCGCTGAGAGGCCCCCTCAGCTTCTCCTAGCCTGCTTACATTGCACTGACATGTATTTCAATCTACTGTGTGATGCATGGGGTCCGTGTCCACAGGTATTACTGATCACATTAGGATTTTTTGAGGAAAGGAACTGGGTCATATTTGGAAATCTTCGCCTAATATAATAATACGTGCTTTAATAAATGTAGCTAAATTAACAAACAAAAGATTGATGTGGTAACCTTCGAGCCATAGGTGGCCACACAAGCCGCCACTGATGCATCCCCTGCCCGGCCTTGTATTTCCCCACAGTTCGAAGGTGGCCGGCTCCTCTGCAGGAGATCCGCATTGGGCCATCTCTGGACTTCCCCGGGGTCTTCTCGCTCAAAGGCCACGCTTCTCTGGGCAGTGAAGCCATTCAGTTTCAACCCTGGACCTTCCAAGATAACCTTTTGATAGTGAGGCTATCAAAACTTGTAGTGAGGCTACAGATTTCTGCTCATTCACACTTTTCTGCATTTCTATTTGTATACTAAACAGTTCCCAGGGAGCCTGGCCTTGAAGTTAGAGTCGAGGCGGCTGGTGAGCAGCTTCTACTTAAAACCTCTGATCAGCACCAGTCAGGCCTTTAGTCTCACAGAGACCAAGACACACCCGATCATCAATCTGTTTCCTCTCCTTAAAAAACGCTCAAACTGTCTCCTCCGCAGAAACTGCCAGAGAGAAGGAGAAGGGCTGCGGGGGGTTCTAGGCAAGCCCCTCCAACCCTGCATCCCATAGCTGGAGGCTTGCATCTGCTTACAATTACCTTGGAGAAGTCTCCTATGAGGTCCCTTGGATCATTATCCAAAATGTTCTCAATGGTCCCTTTTGAGGAAGACACCAGGGATGAAGACTGATGTAGAATCTGCAACAAATCCAAAGTGGGAAATGAGGCCAGCATTCTAAGCAGAACTTTTAAAAACATTCACCTAGAATGTTCACAAGGAGACTGAATGTTAACATTTATAACTAACAAATCAAGATATTACGTATTTAATTGAATCTAGAGTGGAAAAAAATAGGTTACTAAGTTTACCATTCCTTCAGTGTCCAACTGAACTGCTCTGAAACTAAGCCCCCTCCCCGCCCTCAGCCCTGCTTTAAAGCAAGATGGAAAGTAAGGCCATGTCTTCAAGAGGCGATTACAAACGTGTGAAACAGGCAAAAAAACAAAAATCAAGTCTCAGCAAAGAAAGAGAACCCAGTGGAAATCTCAGAACTGAAAAATACAGTACCGCTCTCCTCGAGCAAAACGAACCTCCTGGCGCTTCTCTGGACTCACTGCCTCCGCGGGACTGGCCCAAGCCGTGTTCTTCCTCCGCTTCGTGTTCCCAGGGGGGGACTCCTCTTGGGATCGTTCTGGTCTTTTCAACACCGACCGCGTGGCGGAGCTGCACGAGGAAGTGGGGTCGAACAGCTTACATCGATTGCCCTTTGGGGGGAATAAAAAAAGAGTCATGTTGCATTAAAACCTGCTCCTTTGAGTGGTAAAGAGAATGGACCTAGGTCTTCCATGAAGGTTTAAGCCCCACCCTACATTAGCAGACACTGCCCATTCACCAGATGCCACCAGCTCTCGTAGGGCTGGTACCTAGCAGACACCCCGTAGCCACTCCATACGTAGCCACACATGCTAAGCTGCCATTATATGGAGACGAGGAAGACAAGCCACGCCCTCAAAAAACTTGCTGTCTACACAGGGTCCGGAGAGTCAAGAAACCGTCACAGGCAGAAACCGGTTTGGGGCTTCCCCCGGCCCTCTATTGTATCACTTGCACCTTGCGTGAGCTGCCCAACAGATTTTAATATCCCACCTAAATGCAGAAATGACGTCAGGTAGACTATAAGACAGAGCTCGGAAGGTGGTTAAAAAAGTGTACGTTGGGAGACGGGCACAGGGGTCTACAGAGGAGCGGGAGTCCTCTCTACCTGAGTCGTTTTAGAACTAATGTCCCAGAGACTCGAGGGCAGCCGGTCCGCCTGACCACGAGTCAGTGTGCCGTGGCTGGCCTTTCCTTCCATGGAAAGGAAAGCCCTCTGTGGGGCCAATGTCAATGCTGCCTCTTCTTTGAAATGTTCCCGAGAGGCCCCAGGGGAGTGTGGCACTCCCACACTGGATCTTCCACCAAGGAGTTATTTCTTATTCCCTGAAGTTTATTTCAGTGCCATGTTAAGGAACGCCGGAGATTCTCCTTTTTACGTGGAAGATCCAGGCGCAGTTTTGGGAAGAGGGCCCACGGGAACTGCGAGCCCCCACAGGCAGGGACCACGACTCCGACGCAGCCTCGGCAGTTGTGAGCCTGCGACAGCTACCTGTCGTGAAGGGCCCATGGTTCTCTCCTGGTAACTTCAAATCCAGTTTATAAAACTGGCAGCCATTTCCCAAGCATTCTTGCACTGCATATCACTTTATGTCTTTCAAAAGGACCTGTAAATTTAGTTGTCACATTTGTATCGGGGTGGCCTATTCATTAAAGCTGTACACAGTAATCGACGATAATTTAAGTGGCCTTAAGATTATAATTCATTTGTCCTATATCTATAGTCAGGGATGTTGACAGTTAAAAATGTACCTATCAGTTTATAGGTATGGCTAAGGTTGCGTTAACTCTCAACTTGTAACGATACAGAATTTTCTCTAGGCATCTGCATACTAAATAAGGGATGCCTGTGCGGGCTCAGTTCTGCTTCAGATTTTCCATCTGAATGTATCTCTAACGGAAACACGAGTCTGTATGTTGATGGCGCAGGTATTTCCCACGGAAAATAGAAACACTGCAAGGCACTGTCATTTGTCAAGTGCTGCGCTAGGTGCTATGGAATATAAGTGAGAATGATCCAAAAAGTTCTCAGACTAGAGGTTTTGGATTAAAGGCTTTTCCGAACAACTCTGATCTCTTCTAATTGACGTGCCTTATTTCACAGATCAGGGAACATGAGGACAGACTAAGTGCATGCCACAAGGTCACAGTTTACAGGTAGGGGAAGTGGGGTCTAAAACCCAGGCCCCCAAGCCCTACCATTCCCATTCAACCCCTGGCTGGCTGGACCCAGCTAAGGTGGCGGGATGCAGGGCACGCCCACACCATCCCAGAAGACACGCAGAAGACGGGACATGGCGGGCTCTCCACACAGCAGGCTCGCACGTGTGTGCGCACACACACACACACCTCACTACCACCCAGCAAAGCCAGGAAACTACATCACAAGTGTCTCTCCAACAGAAAACCTTGGTGTCATTCTCATGGCTTCCTCTCTTTACCTCTCTCATACCCAAACACCAGTAATTCTGCTTTGTGAAGGTCCGCTGATCTGTCCCCTCCTTCCCACATGATTCAGAGAAAGTCCTAGGCACTTTTCTGAATAGTCACAGCAGGCTCCCAAGTGGCATGTTTGTCACTGAGCCCGGCACCCTCCCAGCTAACACAAGAACACTGTGGAAACCCGAGTTTCTGGGGGAATCAGGTCTGACGCACTCAGACCCACAGACAAGCTGCAGCCACTGCAGCTTGCCCCGCCCACCACACAGGCACCAGGCTCCAGCTTCCCTGGGCTGCTTGCTATTTCCTCAGATGGACTCTTCTGTGGTGAGAACGAACATCCTGCCACCCAGCAGGTTCCCACGTACCCCGAGACCCAGCTCAAATGACTCCCCCGACCTGCTCACTGCGCTGAGGTGCACACACAGCCTCTCCAGGGACAGACACTCTTGTCTTTGCAGTGTCCACACCATCCGCCCGTTAAACTGGGACATGCACGGCTGTGTGCAGGTGTTTAACAAGCCCCCTCTCACAAGATAAGCTGCTGTCCTTAATAGGAAAAGAACCCACTTCCTGTTGCCTTACTGCTGTTTAAGTGCGAAGTTTTAATACTGGGACTGAACTAACGGAGCTGTAACTGATGATGACAGTTACATCAGTAACTGATGTCTCCACTGTCAGTGGAGACACACCCTATTTAGGACAAGAGGACAACATAGAAGCTCCAAAAGTGCCTAGTTCAAGGACACTAGCTGGAAGTAAAGTCTCAGTGTGGAAGCACAGGCTAAGGTGTCATCTAGCGACTCCACAATTCCTCGCTGAAGCCAACGCTGGAGGCCACAGCAAGCTGGCTGCCCCTTCTCAAAATCAGACAATTGCTCAGAGCCAGGCAGACTGTGGGGGCCAGAACGGGGCCCTGCTCTGCAGAGGGGTGAGGCTGAGCTTCAGTGGCCACTGTAGGGCTCGGGCCACAGGCTATGCTCATACCTTTAACAGTTATAGCAAAATGGCCGAGTCAAGGGCAACTCCAATTTAAATTGAGAAATTCAAGTGCCTGTCCTACTTAAGGGGGACTACACATGAACTGTGGCTAAGTCTATACAGGAGAAATGGAAAAACATAGAAAGCACATAAAACTCAGTTATCTACAGGTAATACTGCTAGCACCCTTGAGCTCCAAAATAATCCTAACGAAACTCCATGTGGGGAATGACCACAGTAAAGTAGAATCTTTGAGTAAAAAACAGAGGTAAAGCAGTGTTCCAAATGTTTGGCACATTTTCTGTGCAAATGTGCCAAAAAACTTGGACAAAAAAGTGAAGACAAAGCTAGGAAAGGTGAGAGCCAGAGACCTAGGGATAGAAGACGGCCAGCTCCCGCCGTGCAGTAGGGCCCGGGGCGCTGAGAGCGCCCACGTGGGTGTGTGCTCCTCAGCGGCTCCTGAGGGAGGCGCGGTGTTTTGAGACCCACCAGGGCCACAGCCTGTGAACCCCACCTCCATCAGGGCCACATCCCCAGACTACCTGCAGCTGTGCCCACAGCTTAGACTGTTAAGGTGCCATCACTTGCTGTGGCTCATAAGGAACCTCCAGGCGCTGCTTGGTTCCCCTTCTGCAGCCTCCCCTCCCGGATGACCACCCCCTTCCTCTACACGTGCAGCGCTCTCGACTTTCCACGCCGCAACTCATCTTTCTGGCTCAAACACAAACAGCCACCGGACCCTGTTAGCTCCTGCAGCGACCCGCTCACAGCTCTGCCCAAGTCCCGTGGTCCCAAACCTGTTGTTCTTTTTCTGCATTTAAGAACAAGACTAATTCTTCTTCCAATAAAACCCTCTGTCCCAAGTTTTCAACCAGTCCATAATATCTATCGTGGTTTTGAGTCTCTTTATTCTACCGGTTGCTGTTCTCTAAACGTGTTCTGGTCTTTCCATGTTCTCTCAACTGCAGAAAACCAAACATCTGGCCATCCAGCATGTTCTCCCCTCACCAATCAGAGCAGGGCAGAGCTAGCCCCGTCTTTTTTGGCTCTGGCCAGAGTTCTCCGGTCAACATCCCAGAGGAAGAGGGGCTGTGCCTGCTGCAGCTGGGTGACTGGGTGGGGTTGTTCCTCTATTGAGTTGCCTAGGGTCCGATTCCTTTTGTCAGCTACAAGTTGCTCACTCATGAAGCTTTCAGTTAAAATTTAAGGCAATAGCAGCTTAGGTAGTCTAAGGATAATTGAATTTCTTAAATTCAAATTAGCAGGTATTTTCCAGATATTATCCGGTGATCTTCAACCAGAAGTTACTAAGAGGTCCGAGGTACTCAAAAAAGGATGTTAGCTGGCCAAGAATGATTAAGATGAACTAGAAGTTGGAGAAACAAGAACTGCACGCATATATACATCACCCAGACTGACTCATACACCAATGAGGACCAAAGATCCCCTTGAAAAAACAGTGTGCATTAGCACCAGAAATCACCAGTGACCAGCGAAGACCCACAGCCCCAAAGACAGAATCTCAAATGAAACAGTTCCGCATTCCTGTGGTGATGCGAGCGGAAGAATTAGTTTTCCGTTTTGTGCTGTCTCAGAGACCCAATCACTTAAGGTTCCCTCCAGACACCCCAGAGTTCCTTACAACATTTGTAGTCCTTCTCATGACGAGGGGAGCTGTCCACAGGCTTGCCATGCAGGACGGGGTCTCTTCATCATTCTAAAGAAAGAGAAAACTGTGTGACAACGATGCAGTGGAGACTAGCATTAGTTTAAATGCTCTGGGGGTCACTCTGCCTGCAGAAAACCAGCTAGGCCTGGAGGGACGGCACCTAATGCTCGTCTCTCTCCCCCACCCCTCAGCATTTTAGGGTCAGGAGGGAATGATACTCTACAGCGCAGGCAGCTGACCACAGCCGAAAGCACCCTCCCTCCACGTGGGAGGATGTCCCGTCTCTCCAGCTTCATGCCATGTGGCTGCTAGTCCTCCACTCACACCTCTTGCACACACACGAAAAAAATAAGAGTGTGAGCTCCTCCAGGTTAAGAAGGATCATGCCAGTATCTTCTTTTGAAGCCCCTCAGGATTTAATCTGGAAGGATAGCCTCAATTTCTCACCAACTGAACAAAAATATCAGCCAACTCAAGCTCCAAGAATCACTGCACTTTTTCACATGACTTCCCCAGGGGCAGTTAGTGGAATGGAGAGTAACAGGCACACGCACACACGCACGCACACAGCACCTTCAGGTTCTCCCCATCGAGGAGGTCCATGAAGCCATCGTCTTCATCAGACAAGGTGGCAGCCACAGGCGACTGGGGCAGAAACAGAGGGATGCAACTCCCTGGCTCACTGCTCTCTCTCTCGTGTGCGGAAAGCTGCAAGACAGAACCCACGCTTTGTGACCGAATGACCCACTTTGATTGCTCCGGATGGGTCCAATAGTTTTTATGAGGAAAGTACAGCACATCGTTTATAAAAGTACAATTTTAGCAGCTACTAATCAAAGGATATATGTGACCTTGAAGTCCAAGGTCATAGATGATGTGATGTCCATACACAGTATTAAGTAGAGTCAGGCCAAACAGCCTTCACAAAGAACCCTTCTCAGAAGCCATTCGCCTCACAGAAGGACCCGGGGACAGCTCTGTGTGAAAGACCAGGTTCATTCCGTTGGAGATTGGAATCAGTGAATGCGGATCAACACGGCGATGGTTGTGACAGTGTGTGATCTGCCGGAGTGAGGAAGGGGGAGACCACGAAACGGCCTGGAGAACGCTTACGGAACTCCAGTTCTGACGGGGGAAGTAAAGGGTGCCGTGGGTCTAGAAAAGCTGACCCTAATTTTTTTTTAATTTATTGATTTTAGACAGAGGAGGGCAGGGGGGAGAGAGACACACACATCAATTTGTTGTTCACTTATTTATGCGTTCATTGGTTGATCCTTGTATGCGCCTGGACCTGGAAATGAACCTGCAAACGTGGTGATTCTGGATGATGCGTCAGCTGTGGATGGACGGGTTGGGGGTGGGGCGGCGACAGGAGGCAGAGCTCAGGCTCGAGACCCGGTGCCCAACAGGCTACAAACCAATACCGGTCGGTCTGTGGGCAGCAGGGGAGGTTGGACCCTTCTCTAAACAACTGACCTACAGGGCCTTGATCCTAATTCATTCTTTCTTTCTTTTAACTTTTTAAGAAAGACTTACTGCCCTGGCTGGTGTGGCTCAGTGGTTGAGTTTTGGCCTGCAAACCAAAGGGTCACTGGTTTGATTCCCAGTCAGGGCACATGCCTGGGTTGCAGCCAGGTCCCCAGTAGGGGGTGCAGAGAGGCAACCACACATTGATGTTTCCCTCTCTTTCTCCTTTCCTTCCCCTCCGGCTAAAAAATAAATAAAATCTTCAAAAAAATAAAAAAGACTTCATTTAGTTATTTTAGAGAGAGGGAAGGGAGGAAGAAAGAAAGAAGAGAAACATTGATGTGTGAGAGAAATACTCATCGTCAGCTCCCCTTTTCATCTTGACCGGGGACTGACCCACAACCCAAGCATGCATGCCAACCCAGAATCCTTCACTTTGCCAGAGGATCCCCAACCAACTGAAGCACATCAGTCAAGGCTGTGTATTTACTTTTCAGTAAGTTTAAACCCTTGCGGGGTACAGCGTTACACAGATTCTGGGGCCAATGGCCTCGGCAGGAAGGCTGCTTTGGAATTTAGCCGAAACCATGCCGCTGTCTCCATGAGCACGAGCTACCCAGGTCGCTCTGGTTCTGTCGGGTTTCCCACCAGGAGTCACCGCGCTGTTCTCTGCTTCGTGCACATACGCACATCTCTTCCCTAGAGGGAACTCAGTTTCACCTCGAGCACAAACACCTTCGATTTTACAAAATCTGTGAGCGCCCTCTGGTTCCAGAGACCCTGTGTATAGCCGGCAGAAATGGCCTAGGACCACAGCCTTCCGCACCTATTGTCACTGTACATATACAGTCCTGTTCCTGACAGGCTCCAAGATGGTGACAATCCTAATTCTTTAGACTTGGAATTTAAATGACAGCTGCTCCGCCCTGACTGGCGTGGCTCAGTGGGGTAGGTTGTCAGTGGAATCGAGGAGCTGAGGGGTCCACTCCCAGACCGGGCCAGCACCTGGGTTGTAGGTTGGGTAGGGTACATAGTTGGGGTGTGTGGGAGGCAGCCGATCCATGTTTCTCTCGCTCTCTTTCTCCCTCCCTTCCCCCTTTCTCTAAAAATGAATAAATAAAATCGTTTAAAAAATAAAGGACAGATGCTCAGTTTTTAACTGAGGAATTACTATGTGGCCAGACGTTATGATACAATCTTTACATGTATATTCCCACTTAAGTCCCAACACACAAGGATAATCCTTTTCTTCATCTTTAACGAATCAGAAAACCAGCCCTGGCTGGGTAGCTCAGCTGGTGAGAGAGAGCACTGTCCTGAGAGGCCAAGGTTGTGGGTTCAATCTCTGCTCAGGGCACATGCAAGAAGCAACCCATGAATGAATCAGTAAGTGAAACAACAAATCGATGTTTCTCTCTCTCCCTGCCCCCTTCCTCTAAAAGTCAGTAATTTAATAAAAGTCAGAAAACCGATGCTTAAGCCAGGTTACCAAGATTACAGGGCTCACTTGTTTGGACTCTGAAGCCCAAGCATTTCTCCCCGTTACACTGTCTCTAGGAGAGGGACCACTCCTGGAGTAACATGGAGGCATCTCATCAGGCAACCCTGTCTTGATTTTGGGGAAGCCAAATTATTATTCAACCAGTATATACTTGATATAGAAAATTTAGCCCTGGCCAGTGTGGCTCAGTAGATTGAGTGCCGACCTGTGAACAGAAAGGTCGCCTGTTTGATTCCCAGTCAGGACACCGGCCTGGGTTTGCAGGCCAGGTCCTCAGTTGGGGGCGTGTGAGAGAAGCAACCTATTGCTGTATCTCTCACACATCAGTGTTTCTCTTCTCTTTCTCCCTCCCCTTCCCCTCTCTCTAAAAATAAAATCTTTTTATTAAAAAAGGGAGACAAATACTGCTAATACTAGCATTGCTGACACTTTATTATTTCTTTTCCACATGCTTCCCAAAGCCAGGAAAACAGTTCAGAGACATACTTCTCTCTCCCACAGTAACAAGGTGGCTCCCACACTAATCCTATGAATATCCTTAAGACCCCCCCCCCTCCCGAGGGACACAAGCGCACAGATCTTCAAGTGGCTCTGGGTGGATCACTCAACTAGGAATCCTCTCTGCAGCTGGCCTGCTCTGGCCCGGCACCAGTTTGCTTTCCAGCATAAAAAAAGACCTGGGCTTTCTCTGACCCTGCACAGGAGCACCTGAGCACCCCCGGGGCACACCAGCAGTTTCCCACCCAGCAGGACGTGGGAACACCCTCTGAATGCTCACATAGTGGAGAACACCACTTTTTGTGACCTAGGTCCTTGAATCCCTAGGTGCAGACGTGCTACAGAAAATGACAAACAAATTGGAAGGAAGGGGGAGGGATTAGTTGAAGAATGTGTGACTCATGGACATGGACAATGGAGAGGGGACTGACTGTGGGAGATGGGGGGCCGGGAGGAGGGGGACAAAAGGGGGAAAAAACTAGGACAACTGTAAACAATAAAAAATAAAGCAGGAAAAAAAAAAGACAAACAGCCCTGACCAGGTAGTTCAGTTGGTTAGTGTCGTCCCCATACACCAAGGTTGTGGGTTCAATCCCTGGTCAGGACACGTATGAAAATCAACCAATTAATGCATAAATACGTGGAACAACAAATCGATATTTCTCTCTCCCTCCTGTCCCCCCCCTCAAAAATCAATAAATAAAATTTAAAGAAAAGAAAATGACAAACAAACCTCCGGACAGCTCATTCTTTCTCCATGATTCCTACACCAAGCAGCCACCCTGAGAAGACAGACGGTGCTTGGAGACCAGAAGCAAGGACACAAGGAAACGCCCGTGACACATCAAACGCCAAACCCGTGTGCCGAGCACTGGCTTTCTCTCGGTTTACACTTTCAGTTCACAATTAGGGACGGCCAAGTGATCACAGGAGACGTTGGCTTTGAGCGTGCGCGCGCGCACACACACACACGGAACACACTGAGTTTGGGTACGCAGCTCTTGAAGGGTCACTCACTGTGCACTCAAGAATCAGGTTTTGTTAGATCCTGGTCTTCTGCTTTTTGGCAAACCACCCAACCTCCCCGAGCACCTTCCCAATCTGTAAAATGGGCAAGTCTAGCTATTTCACAGCTACAGACACATGAAAGTGCTCTGCACTAATGCTAGACACAGCAGACTGACTGAACCCACACCTCAGACCACAAGCCAGTCTGGAGAATTGTATTTTCAGATGCATGTTCCCAAGAAAACCTGGGAACCAAACATGGTCATTTTGCTCAAGTTGGGCCTCGCTAGTCTGTAGCTGTCAGATCACCAGCAGAAAACTCTGGAAGTAATGATAGTCTCTGTCTAGCAAATAAATAACCATGGGGCAAGTGGCCCCAATCATTATCAAGTAGCCCAGAGGCTAGGTTTCCTGACATCCACAATAGTTCATAATAAACCACCTTTGGAAAACACTAAGTGTTCTCTCCAAAAATCAGTCTGGGGGAAGTACCTCTTAGCACTCAGGATGCATCAGGAAAGAGCAAGTTTTAAGTACTACATATAATCCCACTGAACTTATAGCAGAACAACCCAGGATGCCTGCAGACTAATTTCCCAGAACTGACCAGGTCAAATATTTTTTGCTCAAGTACAGTATCCCAAACAGACTCTCTCTCACTCCGCTTCCTCCTGTCTGCTCTCCAGGCACAGCACCAACACTGACAATGTGGCTATCTAGTTTTGAAAGACAAAGTCAAGGTAAAGACAGCAGGAGCCACGGCAGTGTCTTCAATTCCGGGTTAAAGGCGCTTTAATTCTCTTCCCGTCGGAAACTTCCCTCTGAAAGCCAGAACACATACCATCCGAGCCGGGGCAGAACTCTGCCTCTGTGTGAAGAGATCTTTACTCTCCTCAAGTCCATGAGAGTGCAGGCAGCCACGAGACGCAGGTCTTATTGGCTTCTTAAACTCAAAGGCTTCCTGCAAGACAGTATAGTCGAGACATCTTCCACGGTCTATGGAAACCAGTACTAGGGCCTCCGCTATAGCTCAGGTGAGACAGGCAAGGGCGTGGGCACCGACCCCAAACTAAGGGTTTACACATTTCTGATCTAACTCCAACAGCAAAGCTGGGTAACTAAGAATTTCAAAGACTCAGTCAACAGCCAACTTCTTATACAGCATTTTTTCTCACCACACTATTATTTCCTAACAAGCATGTATCTGCCAAGTACACAGAACACTGGGAGTTCTAAGCTAAATCAACAACTTGGTAAAATCTACAGCAAAGTTGTTTCACTATGCCTGTGAATGGAGCCAAAACTTTTCACTCTAGATATGCTTGAGGGCTTTATATTTTCCATCTTCTTCCTCCCACTAAGAGATCATTTTTTTGCTTAAAATTATTGTATCCCAGCCCTGGCTGGTGTAGCTCAGTGGATTGAGCGCGGGCCTGTGAACCAGACAATCGCGGTTCGATTCCCAGTCAGGGCACATACTGGGGTTGCAGGCCAGTTCCCAGCAGGGGATGCATGAAAGGCAACCATACATTGATGTTTCTCTCCCTCCCTTCCCCTCTAAAGATAAATAAATAAATAAATAAATAAATAAATCTTAAAAAAAAATATTGTATCCCATATTAAAAGTAATGGGGAAAAAACTGGTTTACTCTGCGACATGGATGAATCTCACAAAATGCTGAGTGAAAAGTCAAAATGATAAGAATACACACTGTGTGATTCCATCTACTTCAAGTTTAAAAGCACTGACAATCCCCCTACCCTAAAATACCCACTTAAGCATTTGGTATGTATTTGGAGCAGGAACAGCTAATATCAGAACACCTATACACCGACATAGGACGAAGTACTTTCTGCGCATTAGCTCATTAACTGTCAACTATAACCCGATTGTCCACCATTTTACAGATAAGGAAGCTTAAGCCTTACAGGCCCTAAAGATCTTACCTGCCAGATGTGTCTAAGATCTGGCTTCACAGGTAGACAGGACAACTCCAGAGCAAGAGCTCTTTAACCTATGCTGTTTTCCTTCTAGAATGAAGCTCCAAGCAGGCAACCCTTGGAGAAGCCAAATTTGGGAGGGACAGGCGAACACAGACGGACTAGGCAGGGGTAGACAGCCACCACACAGAGGCTGATGCAAGTCTTCCAAACACCCGGGACAGTAACTCATTCCTATAGCCTCCCTCGGGACAGCATGCAAATTGCTGAAGGAATCATTGGGAGAGTTCACGGGAGCAATAGGTTTTATACCAACCCTAGAAGAGTATAAGGATTGTGAACTATGGCTTGTTAGCAGGGAATGGAAAAGGGGTGGAAATAGAGTAAGAAGACTGGAAAAGTTAATTCATTTGAACTATAATATTTTGGATGCCTACCCTGTGCAAGGCACGTGTGCCAGGTGTGAGAGAAAAGCCAGGCCAAGGTGTTCTCGGACTTTTGAATAGACAACCACAAGCTCATCCTCTAAGCAACCATTTCAGTTTCTCTGAAACTCCCTGGGACTTGTTGGCTCCCTTCTTTCCAACATTGTCAAGCAGCTTTTCCCTAAGCACACAACCCCTCCCAGGGCCAGTGCACACGGGGGAGAGGAAGGCCCGGGCAGACACCTCCAGAAAAACTAGCCAGGAACCACCTACAATGCATTACCTATGTCGTCTCACTGCACTCCCACAGCAGCCCTGCAAGGCACTGCTGCTCCTCCTTTACAAACAGAGAAATGAAGACGCCTAAAAGAGGTCATAGAGCTGATTAGCATTAGGATTCAAACCGAGGCTTCTCTGACTCCAGAGCAATCATGACCCTGGTAAAAGCTTAGCCTCCCAGGAGGCAGCCTGGCTGCTTCTCTGGACGCCACTGGCACCAGTGGGCTGTACTCCCGCCCTAAGTGAGTATGTTGGTGCAACACTCACATTTTCCTTGTTCTCATCCTGGTCCATCAGCTGAAAGACGTCGTGGTCAAGAGAATCAGAATGGCTCCTCTTCAGAGCTGGACTGCACCCCAAGAGCTTCTGCTATCAAAATGAAAAAGAAATTATGGTCCATAAATGAAAATTCAATGGCAACTCAGTTCTCTAAAGGAAAACAGATGGCTGGTGGGGGGCTGCGACCTAGGCCCTCACACACAGCAGTGACTGTGGCCAGGGCTCTGTCCTGCCAGAACACAGCACAAAAGTTCCCACTACATGATTTCATGCATAACCCCACAAGGCCCACAGCCCTCTCTGCAGGGATTCAGGGTTGCCAAATCACCTCCTTCCCCAATAACACCGTTTGCATGAAAAGAACTCTTCCTACTTTGATTAAAACTGTTAGAAAGAGCTGAAAAAGAGGCAGTTATTGAAGTTGCTTTTAGGAATGTTTGAGTGAGTTTGAGACTAAGGAAAAGCAGTCTTCATTGTCTAAATTAAGGTCTACTATCAAGATCACACTGATAGCTAAGGGGCAGATAACAGGTATTAGTTCAAAATATACAAGGGAATTAACTTACTGGTAGGGAATTTATCCTCCTCATGGGATTTTCAAGGCTGCAATAGAATCAGTAGGTAAATAATAGAATAAAGCAAAGAGGTAGCAGAATGCACAGTTGCTCAGTCTATAGTCTGAGGGCGGTCAAAAACATCCCCACTTCAGGCAAGATGGAAGAATGGGTTTCTGAAGCTGTCCTGTCTCACAAGCACCCCAACACTGGGCTTCAAGGCCATAGAAGCAAGGCCACTCTGAAGGCCAGGACGTCAGCGGGTGGGGCAAGGGCTTGAATGAGACTCAGGTGGAAGGCCAGATCACAGCTAAGATAAAGAAAGGGAAGTTCCAAAAATTACCGACACAAACAACCCATTAAGGTATTGACCAGGAGTCTTACTAGTGACAGCTGAATCCAGAGTATATGACAAAGGTCATTGAAAAAAATAATAAAGAAGAAAAGTTTTTTTTTTAAGCACAAACACTTAAAAGCAGTGAATACATACTTTTCTTTACTGTCCAAGGGCCCAGGAGAATCCAGACAGAAGCCTGCGGAAAATAAAAACACCTCTTAGGAAACAGTCCATAAAACACCATTTTGTCATGAAAGTAAGTAAAATTCTTAGTATTGTTTCTTTAAGCCAGTCAACAAAGACTCACAGCTTGGACTTTTTGCCAAAAATGAAGTCAAGTCTCTATACGACTGTAGAAAACAATATTTGCATAAGTCTTAAATATTTTCTTGGTATATCTACAAATCCCCCTTTCCTACTTGCAAATGCTGTCAAGGAAAATGGATTTGAAGAGAGAGTGCTAGAGGCAAACCCTTCTCCTGACTGCCTGGTTGATTAGATAAGAGGCTATCCAATTCCGACCATGGAGATAATAAGGAGCACCAGTGTTCTGCAAGTTTTTATTTCAAATAGTTTATCTTGTCAGATCCTATTCATAATTTGGAGGTTTGGGAAACACGGTCGTGTCCTATGACAAGCAAAGCAAGTATTTACACCAAGGGAGGTGGGTGGCACCCAAGGCAGTGGGGTGGCACCAGGCCTACCTAGCAAAGAAGGCCTTTCCTGCCTGATGTCTCCACAACCCGACAGTAAGTTAGGTGTTAGCTCCTGATGGGTGTTCTCCCTCGCCATGCTGCCACAAAGGTTCTAGGTAAAAGCGTGTGTTCAGCAAATCCCCAGTACTGTTCCCCACACAGCAGACACATGGTAAATGCCAGGGACCGAAAGAATACCTGAATCGGTTGACTCGGAGGAGCCCATTCTCTGAAGACTGCTGTTTTTTACTTCCAGCGGCTGTTCATACTCACTGAAACCAAGAGAAGTAATTCTATGTATTTCTAGGCCATAACTAACAGGTTACATACAGGAGATAGGCCAAGTAGCCAGGATGCCAGTCACCAACCATCATTCCCTCTAGAACACCCCACAGAACACTGCCACCCAAACACCCAGGTAGCTAGTACTAGACAGAAATGATGAGAAAGGAAGTGGGTGGAAGGCATGGCCTGGGTCGCACTGCAGGAAAGCATGACTATGATGAAGCCTGGAGTATTTCCTGAAATGAGAGCATGTGTCCTGTGTGTAGGTACTGTGCTAGGAGCAGAGATGAAAAACAAATAGGAAAAGGTCCTCCTTTTTCAGAGGTTAGAAGACCTACAGGACATGTGCTCAACTTAAAAAATAGCATGTCCAAGACTGAAGGGAAAGAAGCTTCACTGCAAGCACCTTGGGGTGCATTTATTTATTTATTTTGCTATAAGAAGCCCAGGGAAGTTTTGAGCATAGAAAGTTGAGTAAAAAGGCCAGGCCTTAGCAATGCATGAGGGTGGCCATCAGGAACGTGCACGGGGCAAGGGACTGCGATGGTTCTGTACAAACCTCAGGCGAGAAAATGCTATGTCCCTTTGTTGAGAAGGAACAAAGCTCACAGGAAACTGTAAGACGGGTCAGCAAAGCGGGGAAGTGAGCGCCTAGGAGGGCCTGCTTTTCCCCCCGTGGAGGTGGATTCCAAAGAGCTTCCTGGGACAGGGTCAGAGAGGGCAGGGCAATCCGAAAGGGTGGCGAGGATGGGGACCTGGGGCTGCCCCCACCCCTACCTACCGGGCCTGGCTCGGGGCTGACGGCGGCCCTGGACTGTCCGAACGGCCTCTCCCGCCCAACATTCCGCCTGAGGGGGAGGGTGCACATGGCTAGCCCTCGCCACACCGACCTGACCTCAAACGGCGGACAGGTCTGGCTCTTCTCCCGGCCTGATCTCCCCGAGAGCCACCTGGGAGGTCAGAGACCCGTGGAATCGCTCGTCTGTCCCCCCTCACCTGCCCAGTCCCTGCAGCTGATCCATGGTGACCGTCAGGTTGGTGACAGGCGACAGGCCCCCGGCGGCTGGCGTGCCGAACAGCGCCTTCTCGACCGGAGGCGCAGGAGAGGGGCTGCAGGCGAAGAGCAGGCGGCGGCGATGCGGGGGCTCCGGGCCCAGTTCCATGGCGGCGCCCGGCCTCCCAGGGCTCCCGCTCCCTCTTCCTCCGCCGCGCCGCCCCTCCCTGCCGACACTCGCCCGGGCAGCGAGCCCCGCCGCGGGTGTCCGCAGGTCAAACACAAACACGACCCCGCGGTTCAGGGACGCAGCTGTCGCGGGAGAAGCGGCGCGGACGGGCGGGTGTCTGGACCCAGCAGGCGCCAGCCACACGCAAGGTTGCTTCCCCCTCACCCCGCGAGGCCAGCGGGCGGGCGGGCGCCGGCAACCTGAAGATTAAATCCAAACAAACGCGGCGGGTCAGGACGGGCGAGCGGCCAGAGCCTAGGGGAAATAGCCCGCGCTCACACTCTCTTCTTTTACTCTCACTCCCTTGCCCAGTTCCGGACCTCCAAGACCCAAGACAACACTCACCTCCCTCCCGGGCCGCTGTCTCTCCGGAGAAGGCGTTTCGCGGTAATTGCTTAGTAGGGACAGTCGCTGCCCCGCCCCCCTTTCCTAGTTGGCGCCAAACGGAACGCGCCAATCACTAAGCAACTCTTCCCCCTTGATCCCGAAAGGCAGCTAGGCTGGACCAATAAGAGGGGGAAAAGGGGGCAACGCGCGGGACTCTGCGAGGTCAGCGGCTCTCCGAAAGGGGCGGGGTTAGGGGGCGGGGACCGGGGCTGATCCCAAAGAGCGCGGGCTCAGAGGTCAATGAAAACTCCCAGCAGCACTTGCGAGGCGCTGGTCAAGATCAAAATGCTGCTTTGACCCGTTGCATTCTGGGGAGCGTAGTTCTTACCCGCGAGGCCACCCAGTCTCTTGATGTCCTGGTTGGGCTACTTCTTCATCGCCCCTGCGCAGGGCTCTATACACTGGGAACGTGGCGGCTGGAGAAGGCCTCTGGAGGCTATGCTGAGCCCAGCCTTGCGGTATTGTGGGCCCGTCTCTTCCGCTTGGGCCTCCACGCCTCAATTTTATAACCAGGGAGGGAACTGAATGACCCACTGACTGACTGGGCGCTGCTTTCGGAACACTAGAGCCCAATTCCGGAGCGCTAACGCTCATCTCAATCAGGCGGTTCAAAACCCTACGGGCCGAGCTGACCACGAGCTGCTGACCACACAAGACTTGAAACCTACAATACGGCATGGGCTGCGGGGCTCAGCATTCTTTTCTCACCTCCATTTTAGCTCTCGGTATATCTTCTAAAAATCATTTCCTTCTCTTCCACCCTGTTTTATCCTATTGGGAGCTCCTAGATAGCAATACCATAAAAAATTTTTAATTTAAATTATCATTTAGTTTTGGGTTTTTTTAATTATTTATTTTTAGAGAGGGGGAAGGGAGGGAGAAAGAGAAACATCAATGTGTGGTTGCCTCTCACATGGCCCCCACCAGGGACCTGCCCCGCAACCCAGGCATGTGCCCTGACTGGGAATCAAACTGCCGACCCTTTGGTTTGCAGCCCGCGCTCAATCCACTGAACTATACCAGCCAGGGCCAATACCATAAATTTAATAAAAGCTAACACATAACACTTATGTTCCAGACATTCTTCCAAGTGCTTTTGTTTATATTCTTTTTCTTTTTTTTTATGTTACTTAATGCTTTCCTTTTTTAAGATTTTATTTATTTACTTTTTACAGAGAGGGGAAGGAAGGGAGGGAGAGAAACATCAATGTGTGGTTGCCTCTGGTGTGCCCCCTACCGCCCCCTACTGGGGACCTGGCCCACAACCCATGTGTGTGCCCCTGAGGGGAATCAAACCTGTGACCCTTGAGTTTGCAGGCCGGTACTCAAACCACTGAGCTACACAGGTCAGGGCTTTTCTTTTTCTTCCTTTTTTTTCTTTTTCCTTTTTAAAGGTTGACTGAAGGGTTGAGGGTGACTTTTCTTATGTTTGGGTCATTTTCAATTGTGAATTGGAGCAAAGGAAAAGCGTAATTTAACCATATCCTTTCCTTCCTTTCCCCATTCACTTAGGTATGCCCTTCAAAGTCCCAGAGCAGCAGGAGGGGAAGGGAAGGGAAGGGCCTTGCATCGTGAATTGGGAGGTTTCAGTTTCTGATTCTGCTTTGGGGCAGGTCAGTTTTTACTCATTCATTCAACCTCTACTGAGAGCCTACCAGCTTGCTACATCCGAACAGACAGCATCAACACTTCTTGCAAAATGCCCTCCTCACGCCCATACCCACCTCATTCAGCTAACACCCACCCTGCCCAGGAAAGTTCTACACTCAGACATCCTCCTGTTATTATCCACCCTCCAGGACCACATGGTTACTTTTGTTTCTGTAATTATTTAATCAGGGCGAGTCCACCCAAATGACTAAAACTCAAAAATGTAAGGAACTTGCCTTTCCCTTTCTCTCCTACAGTGCAGCTCAGGGCCTGTCTGGTTCAGGGGACCCCCTCAGTACATGTAGATTGAGTACATTCTGCAAAAAAAGATAAGTGTGAATGTTTTGAGAGTGTTTAAAAAGGGAATCTGATCTGGCCTGGTATGTCAGGAATTCCTGAGGAAGTGTCCAGGATAAACCCTTAGGATGGGGAGGAAACAGTGCTCTGGGCATAGGGACTGGTCCTAAGCAAAGTCTCTGAGGCTAGGAGTCCCCTGTGTCTGGCAGAGAGCAAGTGGGAGAAGAGGGGTTTGGGGAGAGACCAGACTCTGCAGGGGCTTGTAGACCACATTCTGGAAGTTGAACTTTCAAGGGCAAAGGGAAAGCATCAAAGGGCTTACATTTACATTTTAAAGACATAACCTTGACACCAGAGTGGAGTTGAGTGAAGAGCAGCAATGGTAGAGCTGGGGAGACCAGTTTGGAGGACATCACAGGTCCTGTTATGAGATGGTGTTGACCTGATCCAGGGCGGGGGATGACGCAGGGAAGGAGAGTAGGCCGCACTCCCCAACCATGCTTCTCAGGAAGGTTCCCCAGCCAGGCTCCTGGCTCTTCTCTGCCACTCCTTGACAACCAGAAAAACTCGGTTTTTTCATCTATGTTACGTATTGCAGTGCCCGGTATATTTGGTCTGGAGAAGGGACTCGCCTCGTTAAAAACAAAAGGAAAAAACTCCCACAAGGAAAAAAGAAAGAAAAATTCTCCCATTATTTTGTTAGATTTATTTTCTGTAGAAAAAGAAACATTCTTGATTTAATGTTTTGCGTGTGCCCGTTCTTTTAAAGTAATGGCTCACAGGCTGAAGACCAAAGGCTTTGGCTCAAAACACCAAGATCCTTACACCCACCAAGATCCTTACACCCACCAAGATCCTTACACCCACCAAGATCCTCTACAGCTCCAGACAAAGGCCACCCCTCCCACCCAAAAACCTCAGGTAATTTACCCCTCCCTGCTGTCAGGGTTCCTGGGGGTCTGTGGTGCCCACCCCCTCCCTGTCCATGATTTCAAATTTTTCTCCATTAAACTTCTAAGAATGTGTTTCCTCTCCTTTGTGTGGGTAGTTTCATACTGGACTCAACATCCCTGTTCTTGCACGCATCGTTCACCAAATGCTTATTCATGGCTCACTGGGACAAAGTGCTTGAAATAAAATCCCACAATTTCTCCCCTGGGGGGGCTCACCTCTGCCAAATATTATCTCACAGGACATCCCTTGTAATAACAGTAATAGTTGCTGTCATTTGTACAGGATCGGTGGGACCCAGAGCAGGGGCCTGGGGGGTGGCAGAGGGGGAACTTTCCAAAGGAGATGAAAGCTGCTGTGGTCTGAAGGCTTAGGTTGCTGGAAAAGGGGAACTTGGGGTGGGGTGAGATGGGGCGCATTGTAAGGAGGGGAAGGAGCCCAAAGAGGCCAGGCAGCGACAAGAGCACTTTCTGGGAACTACTTCTGAGTCCTAGAAAGGGCATCTGGGAGTGATCGCAAGGGGACCCAAGTGGGAGTGTCTCCAAGGAGACACTACTTGGAGGACTTGGACTCCCTGAAGGGTTTGGCTTCATTCTGTAGATAGTGCAGGGTGTGGCGGGTGAGCGTTGGTACCATCCGAAGTGCCTTAGGTGGGTGTGGGGGAGCCCGAGGAAGGGGCTCTCCCAACAGTCCAGGGGAATGGAGGGCGGGGCTCAGCCACCAGAGGCAGGGAGTGACTTTGGGAGCCTGGAGGAGGTAGAGCTTATCGGGTTCTTTTCAGTAACTGAGAGTTGAGGTGGGAAAGGAGGAGGAAGCCACTGAGACTGAGTCCTAGCCTCAGTCATGACTTAAAGCAGCTGGGTGGGTGGCACCATTATCTCAGCAACCCCCACACGGTCCCGGAGGGGTTTGAAGAGCTCAGTGTTGTGCTCTATTGTCTGGGGGTGGCACTCTGGAGAAAGATTTGGGGGTTCATTAGCCTGAGGGTGATAATGACCCCTGAGAATGTGCAAATAGCGTTTTGTTTGTTTGTTTGTTTGTTTGTTTGTTTGTTTGTTTAAAAGAATGTTTTAGGAGACTGGACCTGGGGGGCACTAGTATTGAAGCCCAGATGTAGCAAAGAGGCTCATGAAGGTGGTGGTGGTGGGGGAGGAACCCGAAGGGAGGGAGGAGGCGCACTGAAGGAAGTCGCTGGAGGTGGCCACATGGAGGTCATTTTGTGTGGGTGGGGGAGGTAGGAGGTGAGGAAGTAGGCTCAGCAAGACTCTGGGAAGGCAAGAGATAGTGCTATAGCACAGTTAGTATTTTAGCCCTGAGCAGAGGACAGGGCAGATGCCTGTCCGCAATAGAATGGGTAAATGGAGGCCCTTTCACTCGGATGACTCACAACTGATGCTGACATCAGCCAGACACACAAACGGACGTGCTATTTAATTCCATTGATATAAAGTTTTAAAAGATGAAAAACCTTGGGGAGGGGGCAGGGAGGACTGGTTGAAAGAGGGTGAAGGGATTAGTCAAAGAACATGTGTGCGTGGCCTGTGGACATGGACAACGGTGTGGGGATTGCCTGTGGGAGCGGAGGGGTGCAGGGGTCTGGGTGGAGGGGGACAATGGGGGGAAATTAGAACCACTGGAATGGCATAAACAATAAAATATTTAAATTAAGGAAAAATGAGAAGTCCTGCTATTTAATTCTTGGTGATAGAAGTTAGGGTGCTAGTTATGTTTGGGGGCGGTAACTGGAAAGCACCATGAAGAGGACTTTTGGGAACTGGTCACATTGTTTCCTGATCTGGGTGCAGGTTGCAGGAATGTGTTCATCTTGTGGAAATTCATTGAGCTGCATGGACACCAATGGTTTATTTGCTCGTCTGTATATTTCACTGAAATCTTTGCAATTAATAGTAAAAGAGCCCTGGCTGATGTGGCTCAGTGGACTGAGCATAGACCTGCAGACCGAAAGGTTGCCGGTTCGATTCCCAGTCAGGGTACATGTCTGGGTTGCAGGCCAGGTCCCCAGATGGGGGCGTAAGAGAGGCAATCAATTGCCGTTTCTCTCGCACATTACGTTTCTCTACCTCTCTTTCTCCCTCCTTTCCCTTAAGAAATAAATAAAAATCTTGAGAAAAATATGATAATAAAACAACTTCCCAGGGCCTCACTTGATGCTCCAGCTATATTCCTTCCCTTCACAGTAAAAAAGTTGTCTCTAATTTCTCTCCTCTCATTTCCTCCTGAACCCAATCAAGTCAGACATTCAACCCCCCTACTCCACAGAAACAGCCTTTGGCAAGCTCTCCAGGGATCTTTATTTTGCTGGATCCAGTGACCAAGTCACTCGCCACTTCTTACTCTGGCTGGGATACAGACGACCATTTCCTTCTAGAAACACTGGCTTTGCCTGACTTCCAGTCAAGCTTTCTCTGGGTCTGCCAGAGCCATTCAGCCCCTCAAGAGGGGGCCCCAGGCATAGGGAGAGAGAAGAGCTTTGGGGCCCTCGGGTAAGCTGTCTGGGGCCCTACGGTCCTGTGTTCCCAGCGGCAATACAGAGCCTGGCTCGGAAGGAAAAGGAGAAATGCTTGAAGAGTGATCGACAACTAAGAATTTGAATGTTATCCTGCAACCAGGGGCTTTAGACAGGCCTCTGAGAAGACATCCACCCTCCTCCTCCCTCCCTCCCCCCCTCGGAAAATGGACTGGACTTATGGCTTGGGGCAGTGAGGCAGGTCCCTAGTGTCCCTTTTCTCTTCTGAAAAGGTTGAGGACTTTTCCGTCCACTTCCCCCTGGCAAGTATTGGCGTAGCTCCCAAGGAGGCCGCCAGAGGGCACTTGTTTCCCAGCACCAGATTTTCTGGAAAGAAGTGAGGAATGCTGGGAGAAAAGACAGCTGTCACGGAGGGACTTGGACTGGGAGCTGAGCACAAGTGAAAAACTGAATGCAGGACAGGGATGCAAGCTGCAGCCCAGGGAAAAAGTGCTTCCTATTTTTATATTTAATATATTGTAATAATCATGTATCACGTCACATGGGAATTATCAGTGTAATCACTTTCTAAGTTATATAAATGACCAATCGCTATGTAGCACACCTGAAACTGATATAATATTGTATGGCAACAATAATTTAAAAATTATATAGAAAACAAGAAACACTGGCGTCACCCCAGTTATTGAGGATCTGTCTCTGGAGCCTTTTGCACCATGGGACACACACAGGGGCCAGGGCCCCACACTGTGTCCTTTGTCTCTGCTGACCCTTCAGCTTAGATGTCAGCTTCCTTACCACTCTGGGTTTTTTTAAGGTTTTATTTATTCACTTTCAGAAAATTGGAAGGGAGGATACAGAGAAGATGAGAAATGTTCATCACTTGCCTCACACATGCACCTCAATCAGGGAGGGACTGGACCACAACCCAGAAATGAGCTCTGACCGGAAATGGCACTGGGGCCAAGCCCAACCAACACAGCGACCTGGCCAGGCCTTGCCCACTCTTGGTCTCCGTCTCACCCCCTCAAGAAACAGGAGAAATGACCTCCTTCAGTCAAACACCCAGAGGCCTGAGAAAAACACAACAGAGGAGTAGCGAGAACACATCGAGGGTCCAGTGTCCCTCAGAGTTCTGACCCTCCTCACACCAGTCTAACGGGCCCCGATGTGCAAGCGCCCAATTGATCAAGAACCCACTGGGGCAACGTCTGGGATGTGAAACCAGGTTGCACACAGACCCATTTCTCCTTCCTTCTCCCAGGGCTGAGTGCGCAAGAGGCCACAAAATCAGGCTGCCACCTTCCAAGGGGCCCTGTCCAAGTGCCCAAGAGTCCCACAGGCCCACAGAGGCCAAAGGCTTCCCCACGCCCACATGGTCATTCATTGCACAGGAGAGCTGGGCCTGGAATTTTCCTCCTGGCCTCTGGACCCCTCTATCACTTGGGCCCATTATCCCCCCAGGGGTGCTCTCTCCCCCTCCCAGCTCCAGCCACCCCAGCCTCATGGCTCAGTGAGAGCACTGAACAGGGAGTCATGGGGTCAGATCAGTGGGCACCTCCCGAGACTATGGCAGCAAGGAAGAGGAGGTTGGCATGTCGGGGTGCAGTCAGGGTTGGTGCACAGGCTGAAGGGCCTGCCAAGCAGAGGATTCAATGAGCAGGAGGCTCCCAGGGAACTGAGTGGGGGTGTGTGTGTGGCGGCCACATACCTGGGGTGGGCAGGCTGCAGGGGAGGGCAATGAGGAGCCCATGTCAGCCGGCCCTGATGCCAGCCTGCAGGGTGTGGGCTCCAGAAGGTTGGGGGCAAAATGGCCAAATCAGAGTTTGAAGGAGGCCCAGACCATGGCCTGGAAGCAGACTGGGTTCTGGGGAGAGCCTGGAACTCGGAGGAGGTACACCTAAGGGGACGGAAGATGGTGGTAGGGGACAGGACAGGGGCATTGGCAGAGGTGGGAAGGGACTGTCCCCAGGAGGAATGAGGGACAGGCAGCTTCTCTCAGCCTTCCATCCCAGGGCTTGTGCACCGGGCACCTGCCAAACAACAGCAGGCCAGCCCCCTGGGCACCACCATGGCTAATCTGGGAAGTCCTGAACTCAGAGATGCAGACCAGCTGTCATCTGTCCCTGGTAACTGGTGTCCTGAGAGAGGGTGTCCCCCGGCGGGAGGTGACACCTGTGTGAGGCCTGGGAAGAGAAGCAGCCCAGGATGGCCCTGGGCACATCCTCCGTGTGCAAGGAAACGTCCTGGGGGAGACCAAGAAGGAGCTGCCAGGGAGGGAGGAGGGAAACCAGGGGAGGGGCCTCAGGGAAGGATGGGAAGTTTCAGGAAGACAGAGGGGCCGCCAGCAGCTGGGGAGATAAAGACGGGCCTTGAGTGGCCACTGTCTCCAGTGAGGGCTGGCCAGCCAAGAGTGGCTTTGAGTGTGACAGCAAAGAAGTGGGAGTATAGTTGTGGACTGGCCTGCCTCAGGCATAGGCTGGGGAGGGGCCAGGACAACAGGCCACATCTGGTGGGGGCTAGGGACATTTTCAGACGAGAGAGCAGTGGAGAAGAGCCCAGGAGAGGGGGCAGGTGTCCCCAAGCCTCTGAACTGACTGAGGGCTGGGTCTAGAGCAGGATAGAGTGGCCTTGGAAGCCTCCCTCGGGACTGGCTGGGCGGGTAAGGCTGCAGATGGAGCTGGTCACTGCCATTCACTCATCAGCCTGACCTGGGAGCCTGCTGGGTGCTGGGCAGGCCTGGGAGGAAGACTTGCTGGCGAATTCACTACACGATGCTGACTCCGAGCTGGTTGCAGTGGGGAGAACCCATGTCTGTGCCTGGCTCCCTTCCTCTCTTCTGGAAATTTCAACTCTCTTGAGCAACCCTGGCTGAAACTGCCCCAAGGGGCCCAGGAGAGGCTGATATGTTGTCAGGGAGATGGAGAAACCATTGCTTCAGGTTGCACATGGGGCAGGCCTCGACCAGGGTCCAATGAGACCCCTGAGGCAAGCGTGGAGCTGAGGAAAGTGGAGCCCACACCTGGCAGGTGGCCAGTGATGGGGCAGGTCAGGAAGGCTCCTGGTGGGGCTGTTGCAACTGACCCAGGCATAAAGGAGGGTCACTCAGGCCAGGAGGAGGCAGATTGGGGACCATGGAGACCCAGAGAGACAGCCTTCCCTGGGGACGCTGGTCACTGTGGCTACTGCTGCTGGGCCTGGCCGTGCCTCCAGCCGCTGCCCAGGTCCTCAGCTACAATGAGGCTGTGCTCGCTGCTGTGAACGGCTTCAACCAGCGCTCCTCGGAACCTAGTCTCTACCGCCTCCTGGAGCTGGACCAGCAGAGGCCTGATGCAGTGAGTTGGGGGGATACCTGGGGGGGAGGCTCTGGGCCAGCCAGGGGGGCCCCACTGCCACTGCCTTTGCTCACACAGGACCTGTGGTCGGGGAGGCACTCCTCCCTTTCAGTGCCACCCACCTCTTCCAGGAGAAAGACCTTCCTGAGCTGTGTCCCCTGCCAGATGACAGCCCCCTCCCTTAGAATCTATACCGTGCAAAGAGCTGCCCCTTCCACACGCCCACTCATGCTTCAGGGACTCCTGCCAGTTCCAGGAAGAGGAATGGGGTCACTGGGTCTGGATGCGACCTCCCTGCTTCCAGTTCCCTCTGCTCTTGCTTGTCTCCCACACAGGGATGGCCCCGCTCAGCCCCGGGTTCCCTGTGACAATCTCTTTTCTCCAGGAGGCCTCTGGGTTCCCTCAGTCCCCAGAGTTTGTGTGAGGTCCTCTCCTGCACTCTGTGTGCCAGGGGAGGGCAGCAGTGGGGTCTGTCCTGCTCACCTCTGTCCCCCAGCACCCAACAGAGTGCCAGGGACACAGTAGGAGCTGTTGTCTTGTCTCTTGTCTTCATGGGGAGTCAGGATGACAGATCAGAGAAGACAAGCTGGTGCCCAAACCTCGTCTCCCCACTCTCACTTCCGGCCAGGACGACAACCCAGACACCCCGAAGCCTGTGAGCTTCACAGTGAAGGAGACCGTGTGCCCCAGGACGACGCAGCTGCCACCAGAGCAGTGTGAATTCAAGGAGAATGGGGTGAGGCTGGGGCTGAGAGCCCAGGGTGCCTGCCACCCAAGACGCTGAGCAATAGGCATTTGGAGAACAGTTCCAGACACTTGGGGTGAGCCCGGAGGGTTAAAGCACAGACATTCCAGTTGTACCTCAATCCTCTCTTTTCAGCTGGTGAAGCAGTGTGCGGGGACAGTCACCCTGGGCCGGGCCAATGGCTACTTTGACATTAATTGCGTGGCGGTGAGTGGCCCCTTCTGTGTGTAGGGGCCCATGGCTGGTTGTGCATGGAACATCCTATGGACCCATTAACCAGTGCTCCATCCAGGGCCCAGAAACCCCCTGCCCGGGGCCCCTCCCTCACCTGAGCCCCAGGTCTGCAGGACCGGCTCTGCAGTCCCTGAGAGCAGTGCTGCCCACAGTGTGGCCTCCCCTGGGGAGGATGAGGAATGCCCATTCTCAGGCCCCACTCACACTTGCTGACTCCCACTCTAGGGTGGGGCCCAGCAATCTGCATTTAAGAAGACTTCCTGCAGATTCTGATTCCTGCTGAAGTTTGAGAGCCACTGACTTAGAGATGAGTGCTCAGCCCAAGATCCACTCAGTGCTGCTGGGATGGGCTGAGTGACCTTGGGAAGCCACTAGTCATCTCTGGGCCTCAGCTTCCTCTTCTCTTGAAGGGTGTAGGGATTTAACCACATGTTCCGAAGGTGACTGCCAGAGGGTGAACTAGGGCCCCAAGGCTCCTGGGGTGGCCCAGGAAAGGGGTGTCCAGGTGGGAAGGGGTCCTGACCCTGGGTCCAGCCCCCACTAGTTACCTATTTCTTCCTTGTGCACAGATTAAGAAGGTCGGACTGGGCAGCAAGGTGCAAAATATTGTCGATAAGATTAAGACAATTGGCAGAAGAATCAGAGATTTTTTTTTTAATCTATTTCCCAGGGGGGAGTCCTAAAGGCCTGTATTGCCCTGGCTCCAAATCCTGGATTGAAAAATAAATTCTTGTGAAAGCACCTTTCTCCAGGCTCCCGTTTCACTTGTCTTGCTTTCCCACACTTACTACTCAGGGAGGGCTCACCATGCGCGCTAGTGTGGGCAAAACACAGGCTCGGGCGGGGCGGCAGTTCCACCCTGTAGGACATGCGGTGAGGCAGCGGCCAAGGGGCCAGGACAGTGGCTCATTCTCACGGTCACCCTGCACTGGGCCTCCCATCCCTCCCGCCTTCCTCCTTGAGTACCTAGTAGGCACTTAAGGGATGGACTCAGTGTGCAACTCTGCTGGGGATGCTGCTGAGCTGTCCCTGCTCACACACAGGTGACCCTGGGGGGGGCACCAGTCATGTGTTAAACACTAACAGGGATGCAGTTCACTCTCGTGGCTGGCAGGGTTCTAAGGTCAGAGGGTTCCATGCCCATAGAGTCCCAATGGCCCTTGAAAATCATAACTCTGCAAAAACCCTGCACGCAGTGGGGTTGCCCTCACCAGGCACTCCCGGCAATCAGCTCTTTCCCAGGGTGGCAGAGAGACCAGACCCCTGGAGAATAAGGTCTGCGTTTCCCCAGCAGAGGAGCATCTCAGACCTGGAGGTGCTGGTTCTGGGCACAGGAATTCCGATATGGTTGGTGAAGAGAGGAGATAAGACTGAGCTATGGCCTCAGGTCTCGGTGCAGTAGAATGAGTTTGCTCCCCACTAATGTGCTTATAAGGAGTCCCAAAGAGATGGTGGCTGAACCAGATGGCCTGGCCCGGTGACATGCTGCCTTCCAGGGAGAGCTAGTGCTGCCCAGGCATGGCCAGGGGAGGGCAGCCCAGGATGACCTTCATATCCCTTTCACTTCCTCTGGTCCACATTCTTGTACCTTTTCTCTTCCTCCTCCCCCCTCTCCCTCCTCATCCTGATTCTTCTTTTTTTGAACATTGATTGATTAATTGATGGATTGATTGAGAGAAGAGAAGGTTTGGAGATAGAGTGAGAGAGAGAGGTCCATGTGAGAGAGACATCAATTTCTTGTCTCTCATATGTGCCCCAACTGGGACCAAACCCGCAAACAAGTCTCATGCACTGATGGGGACTCCCAGCAGTGACCCTTCACCTCCTGGTGTGCCACCCAACCAACCGATCCAAACCAGCTGGGCCTGCCCCCTCCTGGTCTCCATCTCACCCCCAAGAAGTGGGAGGAAGGACCTGGATCAGTCTACCTCCCAGGGGCCAGAGCAAGACACAACAGAGGAAGTCACGAGAATACTGGTTTCGGTTGAAATGAAGTGAACTGCAGAAGTGTGCGGGGCGGCCTGTCCTCGCCGTCCCTCCCCCTGGCCCTGTGATAAGGTAGCGCTGTGCAGAGTGTGTGGCTGTCCTCACATACATGACTGAGACTCAGTGCCCAGCTCTGGGCAGTCAGAGAGGTGGTTCCCCTGCAGGTGGAGGGGGAGGCCCAAGTGAGGTCAGAGGCAGAGGATGGAGAATGGAAGCCCCAGGGACAATAGGGAGCCACAGTAGGTTCTGGAGCAGGGGAAGGTTTTATTCCAAAGGGCCGAGTTTTCGTGTGAGGTTGCTTGGTCTCCCCTCTGTGGAATCAGAGGTCCTGGATAGCAGCTGAGCCCTCCTCACAGCTTGCCCCTGGGTGCTGTGTCCCCCACAGAATGTACTCCTGGGAGCGGGAACACTGTGAGCTGGTGGGGGGAGTGGCCTGTCCCAGTCTTTCTCAATCTCCAGGCCTCTAGCAGGTAAAATTGTTCCTGGGGTTCCTTTCCATCCTGGTTGACTTGTAGCCTCTTGCCCAAGCCACCTGGTAGCTGGTGGACAAATGCCCACATCAGGCAAGATGCTGTGTGTTTGTGTGTGTGTGTGTGTGGTGGGAGAATGGACATGGGGGGAAGGGGTCTCAGTTTCCAGGATTTCAGACATTTCAGCCCTGAGCAATGCCTACCCTAAAGGGAGTTGGGGTTGGTCCTACTCCAAGCCTTTGAGCCCAAAACACAGACTCCAGGGCATGCCCACCTTTTGGGATGGCTGCCTGTTCTGTGAAGGAAGGCAAATCCAGTGCAGCCCCACACTGATGTCCCAGGGGAGGAAACAGAAACAGAGAGATGTCCCAGGGCCCATGTGGCTCTCTTCTCAGCATGGCCTGAGCCTCCCTTCCCAGGGCACATCCAGTGCGCCCCCCAGTGGCTGGGAGGTGCAGCCACAGGGCTCCTCCTTTTCCCCACCCTCACACTGTTTAGCATCTCAGTGGTCCACTGACCCAGCTCCTTAAACTTGGGCTCTGCTGTCACAGAGGTGGGGGGAGGGAACCACGCTCCTTCCTGGAAAAATATGCCCACCTGTTGTCACTGATCACCTCCTCACACTGCAACTTTGAAAACAGAGGGACAAATTATCTACCATGAAAGCCACAGTGTTCAGGGTAATTATGTGAGTTTGGCAAATATCCAGAACCATGTGACCTCCACCACAATCAAGATGTGGAAGGTTTTCTTTACCCAAAGTTGCCCTCATCCCCCTTTGCAGTGAACCCCCTCCTCCATCCCTGGCCCTGGCACCACTGGTTCACCTCCTCTGCCTGGAGCTTGGCCTTCTCTGGGGATCTCACGTCCATGGAACCGCACGATGACCATCCTCTGCGTCTGGCCTCTTTCACTTCCCATCATGCTCAGGAGGCTCGTTGGAGATGTGTGTTCTGACAGTTCGTTCCTTTCCACTGGCAAGGAGCATGGCAGTCACTGGCGTGGACGGCCCACAGTTTGAGGAGCCTGCTGATGGACACCTGGGCGGCCCCTGGTTGTTGAAGATTTTCTTCTTCTCCCTTTTCTTATTCCTGTTCCTCTTCCTCTCCTCCTCTCCCTCTTCTACATCTCTCTCTTGGTCTTCTTCATCTTCTCCTGACTATTTTGAATAAAGATGCTATGCACATTCTTGTACGATTTCTTGTGTGGTGGTATCCTCTCATTTCTTGATGGTAAACACATAGGAATGGCATTTCTGGGTTGCATGGTGTCAGACTTACCCCTTTCCAATGACTCCTGGTTGTCCTTCCCCCATCCCCTGGGGGGGAGGTGTTGGGGCAGATGAGAGAGTGAGCTGAAGGCGGGAGAGCCTGGGGGCAACTGGGCCTCAGCCTTACATCTGTGTTCAAGTAGCTCAGTATCCTGGGCAGGTGGCTCTGCCTCCTCTGGGTCGGCCTCGGTTTACTCACCTGTGAAAGGACACGGGCACCTCGGCCTTCCCCGCCTGTCCCAGAGGAGGCAAGGCCGTGGGCGAGGGCCATCTCTGGCTGCTCTAAGGGGCCTGGAGCAGAGAGCACGGGCTGCTTCTGAGACAGAACCGGCCCTGAGGGAAAGGCCTCCCTTAGAGAGCTGGCTTCTCTCTCAAGTCCGGGTGGGCGGGACCACAGCCAGTGCCTGCCAACCTTGAGAGGTTCCTTTTGGCCTTGAGCTGAGAGGCCAAGGGCTATTGTGTTGTGGATTAGTGGGCCACTCATTGGCCATGTGCACCTCAGAATATGACAGTATAAAGGAGGAGAAAAGAATGCAAGGAGGCGGAGGAGAAAGTGATCTCTACCACGCTCCTGCATGTATGTGGCTACTTACATTTAAATGATGGAAATGAAGACATCAGGACTTCCAGCCAAGATGGAGGGACAGGTAGACACACTGTGCTTCCTCACACAACCAAAAGAAGGACAACGACAAATTTAAAAACAAAGACAACCAAAACTGCCAGGAAATCAAACTGTATGGAAGTCCGACAACCAAGGAGTTAAAGAAGAAACATTCACCCAGACCAGTAGGAGGGGCAGAGACAGGCAGCCATGCAGAGAGGCCTGGAGGCTAGACAGCAACTGGCAGACTGGGCGGTCCCGCCTTCACATGCAGATAAACTGGGAGGAACAACTGGGGAGCAAGATTGACTCAGACTGCACAACCCAGGGTTCGAGCACTGGGAAGTAAAGCCTCAAACCTCTGATTGAAAACACCTGTGGGGGTTGAGGCGTCAGCAGGAGAAACACCCAGCCTCACAGGAGAGTTCAGTTGAGAGACCCACAGGGTTGTAGAACGTACCCAAGCCCACCCACCTGAGAATCAGCACCAGAAGGGCCCAGTTTGATTGCGGATAGCAGCAGAAGTGACTGAAAACCTGTTCCCTCTTGGACCCATCCCCGACAGACAGCATCACAATGCAGCCACCTGGGTTGCCCAGCCAGGAGAACACCTAAGGCTCCACTCCTTACTACATGATAGATGTGCTGAACACAAAAGAAATGGCCCAAATGAAAGAACAGATCACATCTCCAGAAAAAATACAACTAAGTGACAATGAGATCAACAACCTATCAAGTGCACAGTTCAAAACACTGGTAATCAGGATGCTCACAGAATTGGTTGAATATGGTCACAAATTACGGGAAAAAGTGAGGCTATACAAAGTGAAATAAAGGAAAATGTACAGGGAACCAACAGTGATGGGAAGGAAATTGGAACTCAAATCAATGGTGTGGAACAGAAGGAAGAAAGAAACATTCAGCCAGAACAGACTGGAGGCACAAGATTCAAAGAAATGAGGAAAGGCTTAGGAACCTCCAGGACATCTTTAAATGTTCCAACATCTGAATCATAGGGGTACCAGAAGAAGAAGAGGAAGAGCCACAAGTTGAAAATTTGTTTGAACAAATAATAAAGGAGAACTTCCCGATCTGGCAAAGGAATAGACTTTCAGGAAGTCCAGGAAGCTCAGAAAACCCCAAAGAGGTTGGCCCCAAGGAGGAACACACCAAGGCGGGTGTCTAAAAATCCCACCACCTACTAACTGCAAAGACAGACATTCAGGAAGAGATAGACAGGAAGTACAGCCACAGTTGCCTCTGCTGTGCAGATGCGTCTCTTGCGTCCCGACTGTGTCACGGGTCTGCTGTTGGTTGGCTCCCGACAGAGAAGATGGTGGTAGGGGAAAGGTCAGGGGTGCTGGCAGAGGTCTGAGGGGACTGTCCCCAGGAGGAAGAAGAGACAGGCAG